CTCTTCCCTCCTCCCTCCTGTCTTCGCCCGCGCCCTCAGTTCTCCATGCTCCCTCCTCCCTCCACCATCATCCCAGGATGGAGGAGGCTGGAGAAGGACGAGGGAGGATCTCTGGCACGGCAGGGGATGCATGCGGAGGACATGGAGGAATCTCAGTGAAGGGGGGGGCCACGGAGGATGGAGGAGGGTTGGCTTAGGCTATCCTCATCCTCGCCCCCCTTCTCCTGCCCCCCTTGCTCCCCTTGCTCCTCCTCCCCTCGCCCTCGCCGCCCCTGCCGCCGCCGCCGCTCGTCCTCGCCCTCGCCCGCCGACGTCTGCGCCGACGCCGACAGACGCCCGCGAGGGCGACGGCGACGGCGACGTCGCCGCCGCCCTCGGCCGCGACAGGAGGCTGCGCCGCCACGCCCGGGGCGCGAGGGTCGGCCTCGGCGGCTGCCTCGCCGGCGGCGCCGTGGGCGGGCGCCCCGCTGCCGGCGGCGGGGGGGGGCTGCGCGTGCCTTCGAGCAGTGGCGAGGCGTCCTTCAGGAGGGGAAAAAACACACAGACACAATTAATCGTCGATCCCCATGAAAATATGCGAAAATATGGGCAGTGGGGGGAAAGACAAAAACCCAGAAAATATGGGAAAATATGGGGAATCTTTTTATTTGTGTGTATTTATTTGTGTGTCCCAGGGCCCCTTCAGTCCTGGCCCGACTGCACGGTCAGGCCGCATGGTCTGGACGGGCAGCCTTCCCGAGGGTACCCTCTGCATCCTCGCCTCCCCGGTCCATCCTGGGCCACTGCCGTGGGCCGCGCCCCGCTCGGAGAGCTCCGACACGGCCTTCCACGGCCCTTGCATCCTCATCGCGCATCCTTATGGTGCGGGTTCCACTGTAGGCCCACCAAAGAATGGTCTGAGAACTTCTTGTGGTCTGCACGAACTGTTCTTAGAGCATTTCTGGCTGAGACCGTCTTGTTTCAGCACGTCGGCGTTGCATGTTGAAAGCAACATTGTTGCTATTAGAACGTTTTTGTTGTTCTACTGGAGCTTCCTGGCAGGACTATCGGAATGTCGGGACGGTCGGTCTCTACTCAAGAATGGACCTCTTTTCAGGAGGGAAAGAGACACACATACACAATTAATCTTCGATTCCCCAGAAAATTCGGGAAACTATAGGAAGTGGGGGGAAGACAAAAAAACAGAAAATATTGGGAAATATAGGAAATCCTATTATGTGTGTGTCTGTGTGTGTGTGTGTGTCTGGGCGCAGGCCCGCAGTCGATCGACTGCATGCAGGAGTGGCCCTTCGCCAGTGTCGCCTCTGGTGCGGGCCAAGTGGGGCGCTCCGATCGCCGGGTGCGATGCGGCAGCGGCTGCCTGCGCCCCCAGGTCTGCCCCCCCCCCCCCTGGCCTCCCCCAGAGCCACGCACCAGAGGTCACTCTTACCTGGGGTCACTCCTTGCGTGTAGCCTTAGATCTGGCCTGTCCCCCTACAAGGGGATCTTCAGCGAAAAATAGAAAAGTAGATATGCGGCGGCGCGCCCAAGGGGGGGGAAGTGGGAAGGAGAAGGCCTTCTCGGAAGACGGCAGGACGTCTCGGAAGCCCTCGCGCCTTCGGAGAAGTTGTCTGTGTTGTCGGGGGAGGCTGAAAGAGCTTCTCAGAAGGCCGCCCCTCCGCACTTCCCCCCCCTGGCCCGCCGCCGAGAAGCAGTAGGAACGGCAAGCGGCCCACTGTGCGGCTGATGGCCCCGGCTCCAGCACGGAGGTCCCGCGGGGAACGGCCTGCGCCGCGCTCGCGCGCGTCGGCGTGCGCAGCAGCGAGGAGGATGCGGAGGAGCAGAGTGAACAAGAGTAAGAAGGAGAAGGAGGAGGAGGAGGAGGAGGAGGAGGAGGAGGAGGAGGAGGAGGAGGAGGAGGAGCCATTGAACGAAGGTGGAAGAGCAGCAACATCAGCAGCTCTGAGCAATGGAATGAGCGAAGAGGTGAGGAGCCTCTGAAGGGGCGGCCGCCGCAAGCGGCGGCGTGGGCGAAGCCAGGTGCCTGCTGCTGGCCTTGCTGGCGAGGGACCGGCTTGCGGCGCGCTCCTGGGTGCAAGGCGGGCGCGGCGCCCGCCCTCTCCCCCCCTCTCTCCAAGATGGAGGAGCAGGAGGGCGGGGTAGCGGAAGCGAAGCTCAGAGGGGGCGTGGCGCCAATTTGTGTTTTAGTCCACGCCAACTGCTCCTCGTTCCTCGCCCCTCTCTCCTCGCTTCTCACTCATCGTCGTTTATCTCTCCTGGCCCGTTGCTCCTCTCTCAGCCACTTGCCACTCTCTCCCCCTCATCACTCTTCGGCTGCCCCCCTCCCTCTTTGGGCCTCTCTGTTTTTCCGTCGCTAATATCTTCTCGCTTCTCCCTCCTCCCTCGATCCTCCTACAAGCGCCAGGTGGCATCAGCAGTCAGTTAGTAGAAGTAGCGACAAGCAACAACCAGCAGCTTGAAGCATCAACTTCGAACTGCAGCGCGGAGCAGAGACCGAGCAGCAGCAGCAGTGGCATCACACAGCAACAGCAAGCAGCAGCAGTGACAGCGGGCAGCAGCACCCTGCTGCAGCACGCAGCTTGCAGAACTGGTAACCAGCAGCACCACGAAGCCACACATTGAAACACCACGTAACATCGGCAAACCCTACCAGCAGCATGCACCAACAGCAGCACGCAACACCAAACAGCACGCAGCACGCAGCAGCGCCATGGTGCATCAATCGGCAGCAGAACGAAACGACCAACACCATCCCGCAGCCGCAAGGAAGGGCAACATGAATATAGGAAGCTCCAGCATTCAACACCACTCATCAATCACGGAGCGGCAGTGAGCGGACGGGCACACCATGGAGCAAAACAGCACATACGAACCGGCGGCCAGGCCGAATCATATGAGGTCGCCAGGCTAGCAAGCACGCCCCCGCACGACTGGCAGGTCCCTCCGAGAGCGCTCCAAGACAGCCCACGAGACCCCGAAGGGGGCACCAAGACGGCCCTCCTCCTCCTCCTCCTCCTCCTCCTCCTCCTCCTCCTCCTCCCCCTCCTCCTCCTCCTGCTCTTCTTCCTCCTCCTCCTCCTCCTCCTCCTCCTCCTCCTCCTCCTCCTCCTCCTCCTCCTCCTCCTCCCCAAAGACCCCGACGTTGGCCCAAGACAGGCCCCAGACGGCCTAACAGAGCCTCGAATACCCAACACAGCCGCGAGAGAGTCCCAGGAGCTGCCCAAGCGGGCCCAAAGCGGGCTCCACGACGGCCACAGACGCCCAACATGGCCCCACGGCGCCCAAGAAACATCCGAGACGGCCCGCGAGGGCTCCAAAATAGCCCAACAGGGCCCCAAGATATGCCCAAGAAGGAACGGTCCGAGATGCCCTTGAGCCTCCCAACAGACGCCGACAATTGCCAAAGAACTCCAAAGAGAGCCTCCAGCCCCAACACCTTTCGCCGTCTCTGAAATCTCGGACCCCCCCAACTAAGCCCCAGACCCCGAAGAAGGCCCCAGACCACTCCTGGATGCCCCAGAGCGCCCCAAGAGTCCCAAGAGAAGGTCCAGCCAGGGCGCATTTCGCCGTTTCTGGAACCCCCGTATCCCCAGAGAGCACCCAGAGCCCGGAGCAATAAGGCCCCAGGCAGCTCCTCTGCCAGTTCTCCGCTCTCCTCGTCCTCCTCCTCCTCCTCCTCCTCCTCCTCCTCGCCCTCCTCCTGCTCTGGGTGCCTCAACGCCCCTCGCTCCAGTACCGCTCTCCTGCTTCTCCTCCTTCTGTTTCTCCTTCCCCCTCGCCCTCTCTTCATCTCCTCGCTGCAAGCTCCTCCTACTCCTGTTCTCCTTCCTTCACCCTCGCCCTCTCCTCATCTCCTCGCTGCACACGCCAGCAAGCTTCGCCCTCCCCCTCCCCCTTCCCCCATATGGTGGATGATTAGGGTTGACAGGGGGGACCTCCACGACAGTAGCTCCACAGAAAGCCCCATGCCCCAAACAAGGCCCCAGAAAGCTCCTCTCCCTGTTCTCCCCTCTCCTCCTCCTCCTCCTCCTCCTCCTCCACCTCCTCCGCCTCCTCCTCCTCCTCCTCTTTCTCCTCGTCAGCCTCCTCCTGCTTTGGGTGCCTCCACACACGTCTCTCCGGTGCCGCTCTCTTCATCCTTCTCCTCCTTCTGCTCGCCTTCTTTCCTCATGACCCTCTCCTCGTCCCCTCGCTGTGCACCAGCAAGCTTCGCCCTCCCCCTAACGGCGGATGATCAGGGGTGACAAGGGGGGGACCTCCACGAGAGTAGCTGCAAGGAAAGCCCCGCTCTTCTGCTTGCGTCGGCGACATCTGCCCTGGATTTTCCACGGGTGCGAGTCAGCTGCACTGCGGGATCAGCGCGTGTGAGAAGGGCGAGCAGTGGCAGTGGGCCTTCGCGCTGCTCAGCAAGATGTGGGATGTAAAGTGTGAGCCCACCGTCATCAGCTACAGCGCGACGATGCACGCGTACTCGAGACATGGGCGTTTGCATCAATCGTTGATGACGCTGAGGAAAGCTCGTGATGCAGCGTTAGAGCAAGATGTACTAATGCACAGTAACTCAGGCGGCATATCCTTTGCAAGGGCGTGAACGACAGCACGCGTTGCCATTGGTCAGGGAACTGTTTGAGGCGACAAGTTGATTTCGCAATCAGCCAGTTGACTGCAACACGACGAGATCATATCCCATGCGCGAAGATGTAGCGAGGGGTCGGGCACCCGTACTGTGAACGATCTGGCTAGCGGGCCCCGAGTCGAAAGTCCTCAACCATCGCCAGAAAAGTATTGCATTGGAATTTTCAGCGGGCTCTTGTTGCTCAGTGAGCCGTGTAAAGCGAAGCAGGAGTTGGACCTCGTCAATCACACAACGGAGTTGGGTCACACATGGACTGGTGTTGCTCAGGGGCCTGTGAAGCTGCGACGTAAAGCTGTGGGTGGGCGACGACCATGCTAGGGTATTCGTGCCGAGCGGCATCCAGGAAACATGAGCAGAACCAAACATGCCGAATGTACAGGTCCACACCTGGCCAAGCTTGCGGAGCTGATTGTGCCTGCAGCACCGAGATCGGCTCGTGCTAGACGTGGGAGCAGTGACTGTCGGCACACTGGCGCAGATCAGCGAGATGTTGGAGGCGAGTTGGTAGCCCGACGTCGACAGCCTCAGCGGCGCCTGGACCTGCGAGAACGGGGGGGGGGGCAGCGGCGGCGGGACAGGCGCTGTTCGACGAGGTGTGGGGCGCGAAGCCTCGAGCTGGACATCACCATCGATGTCAGAATTCGGGGACCCTCGCGTGGTAGGAAAGGCAGTTGCGCTGGGTGGCTCCCCCGGTGCCCTTGCAGCAGCTCGCGCGAACGCCCAATGGAAGGAGGAGGCAATGGGGGAGGAGGAGAGGAGAGAAGGGAGGATTGCAGAGAGGGCGAGGGGAGAGGAGGAGGGGAGGGGAGAGGACGGGACGGGACGGGAAGGGAGGAGAAGGGAGGAATGAGGAGGAGGAGGAGGAGGAGGAGGAGGAGGAGAGGAGGAAGGAGGAGGAGGACGAGGAGGAGGACGAGGAGGAAGAGGAAGGGGAAGAAGAGGATGAGAGGAGGATACTAATATGGCATGAGGAGAAGGAGGAGGAGGAGGAGGAGGAAGAGAGAGGAGGAGTAGGAGGAGGAGGAGAGGAGGAGGGAGGGGGGCTGTGGCGAGGAGGAAGCGACCACCTCCCCGCGGCCGCCGCCGGCCGCCAGCCCCCCCCCCCCTCCCGCGCGTCGGCAGGCTCCGGGGCGGCTGGGCGCGCTGCCCCGCCTAGCGCAAGGCCCGCGGCCCGCCGCGCCTTGGACGCGAGGCCCGCCCGCCACGCCGCCAGCCCCGAGGGGGGGAGAGGGGGAGGAGGAGGAGGAGGAGAAGGAGGAGGAGGAGGAGGAGGAGGAGGAGGAGGAGGAGGGGAGGAGGAGGATTTGGGTGGGCCGCTTTTTGGTGACTGGACACGCTGGGCAGGCACTAGGTAGCGGCTGCTCCTGAGGGTCTAGTACCGCGCGCTGGGTGGTTTGCGCTGGCACCGATTTGGGAAGGAGAAAGGACGGAGGGAGTGGTGAGGAGGGGAAGAGGTAGCGAGGAGGAGGAGGAGGAGGGGGAGGAGGGGGAGGAGGAGGAGGAGGAGGAGGAGGAGGAGGAGCAGCAGCCTTGGGAGGAGGAGAACAGGCAGTGGGATGGGGGAGGAGGAGGCGGGGCCGAGAGATGATGCAGGACGGCGGCGGGTTGGCGATCGTGGCGTATGGCGTGTGCACAGTGGGTCTCTTTGCATGGATGTCTGTCAGGGACGGTGGGCTTCCATCGAGCTAAACGCCTGGCCCCCGCCCATGGCATACAGCCTAAGATTTCTAGCATGATGGCAGTGCATGTCGATCTTTTGCCGCAGAGTGCGCTCTATAGCTTTTGACATGTATTGGAAGACCTTGCCGTTTCGTTCTGGCGGCCGCTATGGTGGGAGATGTGGGCTTTCATTCACGAGGATCAGATGCAAACGCCCCATGAGGGGGATTAGTGACGTTTGGATCGGTAATAGCACTACGCCGCCTACGCCCATGGAGGCGTTCTTCGCCACATATACTTGAGAATTACCGTTCGGTGGCATTTGCTTGGAGGCAGTGGCTTCTCTCCCCACCCGTGCTCACAGTTCCAGGTCTCGCACTGTGTGCAAGGCTGGCCCCCCCCCTCGCCGCTACGGCGGCACTCGTTGGCAGACCGATCGCAGACAAAGTCTGAAGCGCAGCGCGCCGCTGTCGAAGACGATCGCGCCTAGTTGTGTGTTTTGGCTCCCTTGCCCGCGTGACCCAAGGCCTGGGCCCCAGCAGAGCGCGGCCTCCTGCCGAGCTGGATGTCCAGAGCTCTTACTCGGTTGAGCAGCGCGGGCGTGCCCCGTGGTGCTGCCGAGTGTTCTGCAAGGGCGCAGGGGAGTCCCGAGAGGCCTTCCTTCTGGAGAGGCGGAGGGCGCTGTGGTGGGACACTGGACGCTGGGCACTGCGCCGGCGTGTCCCGCTGGGCGACCCCGCGTGCGGCTGTAGGCGACTGCGCCGCGGCGCCAGCGGCACCGGGATGTGAGGCGGGGGGGCGGGTGGAACAGCACCAGCAGCATGAGCGGGTGGAAGAGCAGTGGCAGGAGCTGCACGGGACTGGTTGTGGGAGCAAGGTCTGTGCCAAGAGCCGGGCCAGGAGCAGGAGCGGTCTTCTGGGACCTCGGCGAGACGGAAGCCTTTGGTGTTCATGTTATGGTGCCGCTTGCGTTGACGATGCTTCTAGCAAGAAGCATCGAGGGCAATTTTGGACAGTCATGCGACCCTGATGTGCTCAAATGCACTTTACCATTCCGTGGGTTCGCGTGACTGGATGGTGAGCAGGATGAGGGGCGAGATGAGGAGGGGGAGGTGGACGGCGACGGCCGCCGCCACGGCCGACGACGCCTCCGACAACGACGGACGACGACAGACGATGGACGAACGATTGCAGACGACGACCACCACCACCACCACCACCTCCACGACGACGACCGACGGCCTGCGGCCGACTGCTGCCGACTGGCGACTGCAGACGCCGAGCGCGCTCCGCCGAGGCTGTCCGCGGGCCTCGAGGCGGTGCCGCCCGAGGCGCTGGAGTTCGAGCCGCGCGAGGCGCCACCGCCTTTGCCGCCGCGGTCGTCGTCGTCGTCGTCGTCGTCGTCGTCGTCGTCGTCGTCGTCGTCGTCGTCGTCGTCGTCGTCGTCGTCGCCACAGCCGTCGCCACCGCCGCCACCGTTCTCGCTCGCCACCGCCTCTGCCGCCATCGCCGTCGTCGCCGTCAGTGGCTCCGCCGTCGCTGCCACCGTCCTCGCCGCCGCCGCCGCCGTCGTTGCCGCAGCCGCGCTGCCGGCCGACCGGCCGGCGGACTCGGCGCCTCCTGCTCTTGCTCTTGCCCCCACCGTCGTCGTCGCCACCGCCGCCGTCGTCGTTGGTCGTCGTTCGTGGCCATCGTCGTCCTTGCTCGCCATCTTCTCTCCCCGCCCGCCCGCCCTCTCTGCTCCTCTTCCCTGCCGGGCCAGGGGGTCTGGGCCCAAGTTTGGGCGTGAGCCGGCGGACGACGGGGCGGATGGGGAAGAGGGGTCTCACCTGTCGAATCCGAGGCCCAACCCGGCCCTCGAGAATGTAGGGCTATCTTGCCCCATGGATGGTCGGGCCGTCGATCGATCCGGCGACGGTGCAACTTGTATTTTCATCTGCCTGTGTCTGGGATTCCTTTCGCAAGTCAAGTCCTCGGTGGTGTTGCAAGCGGGCACCATTGTATTTCGGCCACGTAGGGCGTCGGATATACTGGCGCCGTGGGATCTGGGGACCTCGTCGCCGCGGTATGGCGCACGGCCGCAATTGCAGTGAGCCCAATCAGGGAGGTTGGCAGAGACGTGATCGGTGAGTGGACGGCGCGGCGATAATCGAAAGCGTCACGCGCGTTCAATGGCAGGAGTGCGTTCGCGGTCTGCGCGGCGACATTGCAGGCGTGCTCGAGGCATGTTTTTTTCCAGACGGATTCCAGCTTGCTTCACAGGGGTCCAGGGGCTCCGATGCCATGTTCCGGGGTCCACAGCAGGAGGAGGCGGAGCAGCAGCAGGCAGTGGGCAGGAACGGGAGCGGGGGCAGGTCAGCAGGCGGGCGGTGCGATGGGCGCGGGCGCCCCCCCCCCCGCGGGCTTTCCCCCCTCCACCTCCCCCTCCCCCCCCCTCCCGCCCCCGCGCGCCGCTGTCGTGTCGTCCCTCGTCATCGTTTCTCTCCCCCCTGCCACAGGGCTCCCCTCGGCTGGAGAGAAAAAAGTGCTGCAGAGACATGGGGCCCCCGCTGCGGCGGGACGAGTGCGGCAGGCCGCTCAGAGTGAGGACGAGGTGGTTGTCTGAGGATCCCCCCCCCCCGCCTCCCTTCGGCGGCCAGCGAGGGGGGGGGGAAGCGCGGAGGAGCAGGCCCTCAGAAGCCCTCGCGCCTTCTCAGAGGTTTTTGTGCGTCTTCGGGGTGGGCTCTGACATGATGGGCCCATTTGCCACCACCACTACCATGGGTAGGACGGGGCAGAAGGAATGATGGGGAGGTTCTCCTCCTCCTTCTCCTCCTCCTCCTCCTCCTCCTCCTCCTCCTCCACAACCTCCTCCCCTTCCTACCTACGGTAGTGGTAGTGAACATCGGCCCATCATGGAAACTTTTCAGAAGGCCGGGAGACTTCCGAGCCTTCTGAGAAGGCCCGCCCCCTCTCACTTCCCCCCCGGGCGCGCCGCCCAAATGCGGCAGGTCGCCCAGAGTGAGGACGAGGTGGTTTTCTGAGGATCCCCTGCCTCCCTGTCTTCTCGGCCCATCCCCCAGACGCCAATGTCGTGATTCGGCCCCCTCCTGTAGAGGCCTCCCAGATGGGGTCCGAGTAGATGGTGTCGGAGGATGGCGCCGCATCGGCGATGCATTTGCGATGCATCGCCAATGAATCGCCGATGCATCGGCGACGTCGGCGTTGCATCGTCAACGTCGGCGTGGAGAACATCGGGTTCCACATCGAGGCGTATCGGCGATGCATCGGCGATGCGGCGCGATCCTCCGACCCAACCTACGCGGACCCCATCTGGGAGGCCTAGATCCCGATTATCCCTTACGGTCAGGGGTTGTCCTTGTGTACCCCCAGGGACGCCCAAGGTCCTTGCACCCTTACATTGCGTTCCCGTGAAGGGCGGCGACTGTAGAAGGAGGACGAGGGTTAGGCGGAGGAGTTACGTTGCATCTTCGGGGGACCTTGCCTGTCCTGAAAATTGGTGTCTTTTCTTGTGCCCGACGTGGGCTGGATGCGGACTCGACGCGGATTTGGCGTGGATTCGACACGGAATCGACATGGATCCGACGAGGCCGACACGCATTCGACACGGATTCGACGCGGATGGGGCCGCGATTGGACAGACAAGGTCCCCCGAGGATGCAACAGAAGAGGAGGCGGGAGACTCCGACGTGTACGGCAGGTCCGTTTCTTGTTGACGCGGCGAAGCGCGGGCGCTCCAGGTTGAAGGCCGCCAGAGGCTCGGGCCGGACGAAAGGGGGGGATCGGGAAAGGGGGGTTACGAAATGTGCTGCATGCAGCTGGTTTCGGCCCCACCGAGGGGCTCATTCCTCGATACGTAGTCGCCTCCGGCGCCAGGAGGCGCCAGGAAAATCGGCTACGTGAGCTGATTCTCAAACCCCCCCTTTGCTAGCCCCCCCATTCGCCCGACCCGAGAGGCCAGTCAGCAGCAGACGTCGAGTGATGTGCGCCAGCTTCTGCCGGCGTCGTCACGCCACAAGCCCGCCGCAGGCCCGCGTGCCGCGCAGGCCCGCGCGGCCCGCTCTCATCGCTCCTGCGTGCTCACGGCCCTCCGATCCCGCCCGGCCCCACCGCGCGGGAGGAGGAGGAGGAGGAGGAGGAGGGGGAGGGGGAGGAGGAGGAGGAGGAGGAGGAGGAGGAGGAGGGTTGTTCGAAGCCCACCGGCTGCACTCTGGCGCGCGCCGCGCCCGAGTGCCTTCGCGCCCGAACCCGGGCGCTGCGCGCGTCTGCCCATGCAGCTCAGCTGGAGGCGCCCTCGTTTTTCTCAGGAGGGAAATAAACACACAGACACAATTAATCCTCGATTCCCAGGAAAATATGGGAAAATATGGGAATTGGGGGGGAAGACAAAAACCCAGAAAATATGGGAAAACATGGGGACTATTTTTATTTGTGTGTATTTATTTGTGTGTCCTAATTTCCCTTTATTTTCGGCGGCGGTCACCGGACTTGCCGTTGTCTCCGGCAGCGCCGTCGCCGTCGCCGAGGAAGAGGGAATCGATGCTCCAGGGCCCCAGGAGGCGGCGAGTGTGCAAATGTTTGCGTCCCCCTGGGGCCCGAGAATGTCCATGTCCACCGCCTCGTGGGGTCCGAGAGGGTCGGTGCCCCAGACGGTGCGCCTCTAAAGCATCCCTGCCTTGCACCCGCGAGATCCGACGTTCCGAACGAGTTGCAACACCGCGAAGAGTCATGAAGGGAGCGCTAGACCCCATGTCTATGCAGCATTTTTCGAGCTGGATCGATCTGTGATGGCCTTGCGACCCGAAACTGGGTGAACAATTTGTTGCGTAAAGGCCGAAACGGGGGTGCCGTTCTGGCGAATTGTGCAACCATGCAAGGGGGCGAGCCGCAGGAGGGCGCGGCCGAAAGAGGGTGAGAAGAGGCGAGCCGCTCAGGGGGACGGGTCACGCCCCGAGCGCGTGGCGGAGATTGGGCAAACACGCCCGGTGTGAAGAATCTGCAGCGTCTGGATCTCAGGGACAGTCGCCTCCTCCAACGTTGCCGCGGCCGTCGCCGCCGCCGTCGTCGGCCCCATCGGTCTGGCGCCTGGCCGAATGCTCTCTGGCGTGCCGAGCTTCCTCAGTGCACCTGTCTGAGGCAGTCCCGGCGTCCTCCTCGCCTTTCCCCCGTCTTGGTTCTTCTGCAGTGCCAACTGCACATGCGAGGCGTTCCACAAAAGGCCTTGCCTGCGAGGATCGAAGGGATTGTCATCTCTTTCGCGGCGGAAGGCGGCGGAAGGGCGGCGGAAGGTCGGCGGAAGCAAAACAGGGCCGCCTCCGCTGGCGGAAACGGGCGGAAGGGTGGCGGAAGGTGGCGGAAGTGAGAGATGCGCCCCAAGGGATGAAAACGCTTTTGGGTTCAGGGTTTCCGAAATCGCCCGCGTACTTTTTCGGGGCTGGACAGAACCCCCAACAGTGACACGTCGATTAGTGAATTGTCCGTTTTCGGTTCTCGAGAGGGCGCCGTGGCCGTTATGTTCCAGGCCTGCGCCCGCCAGGTTTGGGCCTCAGGTCGTTTTCACTAAACCACGTTTTACTAAAGGGGGGTCTGTCCATCCCCCCACCCGGACCGGACAATGGGCGTTTACTGAACGGCTCTGAGCGTTTACTGAACAGCCCTGCCCGGTTCGATTCCTTCTTTGGGTGCGTTTACTAAACGGCTTCGATTGTCGGGGTGGTTATTATCGGGGTGGATTTTCTGCCCCCTATTTTATGTTCTCCCGTTCGGTCGCCAACGTCGCAGCCTGCCCTCGTCAGCGCGTCCCGCCCGCGGCACGGCCGAGCGAGCGGGCGAGCTGGCGCGCTCCGCCCGCCGACCTCTGCCGCACGCCGCCCTCGGGCGCGAGGCGCCCGGAGGCCCCGCGGCCGGGAGCTTTCGGGCCTCGAAGGGCCTCGAGGGGCTCGCAGGGCCTCGAGGGGCTCGCAGGGCCTCGAGGGGCTCGCAGGGCCTCGAGGGCCTCGAGGGCCTCGAGGGCCTCGAAGGACCTCGAAGGGCCTCGAAGGGCCTCGAGGGCCTCGAGGGGCCTCGAGGGGCCTCGAGGGCTTCGAGGGGCCTCGAGGGCCTCGAGGGCTTCCAGGACCCTGGAGAGCCGCCCCCTCCCGCTCCTTGACATCGCTCGGACGTGTGTCTCTTTCTCGGCGAGGACGCTCGAGAAGCCTCTAGGACCATCCTGCGGAAATTACACACGAAATCGACACATGCACGGGGAATGCACGTCCGAGAGATGGCGAGGCTCACCCCTCGAGGGCCCCCCCTGGAGGGCCCCGTGTCGCAGCAGCAGCCTCGGGGGCTCCGCCAGGGTCGCGCGCGCTCGCGAGCGCGTGCCGCCCGCTGCGCGGTCCGGTCCGGCCGCTCCTGGGGTCGGACGGCATGTCGGACGAGATTCGGGGGGGACGGGGTTCGGGGCGTCTGCAACGGGGACCAGCGATGACTGGGGGTCAGCCAACCGCGTCCCCGTGATAGTCATGAGTCCCCCCCCCCTGGGGTGGCAAGTCGGGCGTGTCCCTCTGCAGGAGGAAGATTCAGAAATGACGAAAAATAGTCAGAGGACGATGTTTCGACTGTTTTTTAATGTTTTGTTTGGTTTGAGAAATGTTAATGACTACTTTTCATCTTTCCGCCCAAATCCCCCTGTTGGAGGACATGCCCGACCTAACCATGGGGTCGTCTCTGTGTGCGCTCTGCGGCCTGTGGATGGCACGAGAGGCGGGGAGGCAGGGAGGGTTTCCCCCGCCAAAGTTCAAGTCATAGCTATGATCCTCAGATCACGCATAGCACCCCTGAAGGGACTCCCCCCAAGAGGGACCAATGCGGAATTACACCATAGTATTTCACGGGTGTCGCTCTGCTTCCATACCTCCATCGAGGCCCCCCCTGAGGGGCCAGTGTACCATAATACCATCGTGTTTCACAGGAGCCGTGCCCATCCAACTCTTGCAGACAGGCCCTCTAAGGAGGCTTCGCAAGATCACCCTGGAGGTCATCCAGCACCAATCCAGACATCCCAACATCGATATCTCTGGGAACAAGTGCATTATCTCCCCAGGATCCCCACATTTTTCTCTCGGGTGCGGGGTTGGGCCCTCGGATACCGCGGCCAGTGCTCGCGTCGTGTTCTTGGCTGACCCGGGCCAGGGCTGACCGGAGTTGGCGCGTCTCCGAAGATGAGTTGGGAGAGGGGCGGGGCGTGACATTTGTTGCGCGCAGACGGTTTCAGCTCCGCCGCCACGCCCGTTCCTCGATACACCGTCGCTCCTGGCGACGGGAGGCCCATTCCACTCCACGACGACGACGAAGACGACGACGACGACCACGACGACGACCACGACGACAACGACAACCACGAGGACGACGACCACGATGATGACGACGACGACGACGACCACGACCACGACGACAACGACAACGACAGCGACGACGACGACAGCGACGACCACGACGACGACGACCACGACGACGACGACCACGACGACGACGACGACCACGACGACGACGACGACGACGACCACCGCGACCACGACGACGACCACTATGACGACCACGACGACGACGACCACGACGACGACCACGACGACGACCACGACGACAACAACCACCACGACAACAACCACCACGACGACGACGGCGACGACGACGGCGAAGACGACAGCGAAAACCACGACGACGACCACCCCTGCCCGTCCCTCTTTCTACTGCCCCCTCCTGCTACACAGTCTGGTGCGATCGCCACCTCCGAACCCTTCCTTGCTCCCACGTCTCGGGCCCGGTGCCCGCGGTGCCCGCCTTCTTCTCCCCCCCCTCCTGGCTGGCTGCTCCTCGCTGGCCGTCCGGGCCTGAGCGCCCCGAGATCCGCTCCGTGCCCGCAGCCGCCGGTCTCCGCGGGAGCTCGCCCCCCCCCGTGGCGGGCGGGCCCGCGCGGTGTGCCGGTCGGCCCGGCGGCCTGCCCGCCGTGGTCTCTCGTGCGTTGCTTGGCCGGCGGCAGGCTGTCCATGCGCGGGATGCTTCCTCCCTCCTCCCCCCCTTCGCTTCTTCCTCCTCCCTCCCCATGCTCCTCCTCTTCTTCTTCCTCCCCATTCCCGCCCTCCTGCCTCATGCTCCTGCTCCGCCTCTATTCCATCCCTCGCTCCCTCTCTTCTATCCCCCTCTCCGCTGCGCTGCCCCGTGCTGCCCGCTGCCCCTCCTAGTCTCTTCCTTCTTCTCTCATGCCCCTCATTCTCCCTCTCGTCCCTTTCATCCTTCCCGCCCTCGTCCTTGCAGTCCTCTTCCCCCCTCCCCATTCTCCCTCTCTCCGTCCCCCACCCCCTTCCTCCCTCCCTCACACCTCCGCTCCCCTTGCCATTACCCCACCTTCTTCTTTCCCTGCATCCTGTTCCTCCTCGTCTTCATCCTCCCCACCCTTACCCTCCTCTTTCTCTTTCTATCCTCCCCATCCTCACACGACGCCGCCGATGATCGATGACGACGACGACGACCGATAACGAGGACGACAAACGACGGCCGACGATGACAACGGCCTCGGCGGCGGCGACCCCAGCGACGAGGACGACGGACGACGACCTCCGACGATGGATGACGCCGATGACGTTTACGACCTCAAGCGACGGACGAGGACGACGACGACGACCTCCGATCACGGACGACGACGACCGACGACTCACGACGACCGACGTCGACGTCCGCAGACGACGGCGGCGTCGGCCACGATTGTCTCCGACCTCCACGGCGGCGGCAGCGACGACGGCGGCGGCGCCGACGCCGAGGGCGGCGGCGAGGGCAGCGGCGAGGGCGCGCGAGGCGGGCAGCGGGGAGCAGCTCTTCCTGTCCACGAGGCCGGGCGGGGGCGCCCCCCCACGCGGGGCGCCGGTGCCTGGAGCCGCCGCTCTGGACCGCGGGGTGCATGGGGCTCGGACGTTGGAACGTCCGTCGGGCTTCGCCCCCCTCTAGAACAGCAACAGTTCATAGGCACCTCCTCCTCCTCCTCATCCTCCTCCTTCCTCCTCCTCCTCCTCCTCCTCCTCCTTGGCTCCCTCCTCCCTCCTCCTCCTCCTCCTCCTCCTACAATTTCTCGGAGGCCCCCGCGCATCTCCTGGAGCGGCACTTGGCCCCCCTGGCGGCGCCTCCTGCGCAGCCCCTGGCGCGCCCCGCGCGCCAGGGAGGGGGGTCCAGCACACATCCAAGATCTCCGCTCGGACCCGGAGGAATTATATATATTCACGCAGGTGTCTGGTCCTCTACCCTCGCCGTTCTCGACGCCTCTTGCAGCCAACGGCATCTGAGTACCCTCGCCTCGCAGACTCGTCAGCCCCTGCGCCAAAGCAGCAGATGATCACACTGCTCTCCCGCTCGTCGCCGCGGCCGCCCCTGGGGTCAATTCCTGGTCTGTGAGTCTGTCGTCGGCGCAGGGGGGCGTCCAGGGTCCTGGGCGGCTGGGATGACATGGCGGTATCTCATCGCACTCCTCCTCCTCGTCCTCCTCCTCCTCCTCCTCCTCGTACTCCACTGCTCTCCTGCCCTCGCCCGCCTTCCTCTGCCCATCTTCCATCCTCCCTTCCTCCTGGGCCCCCGACTCCCCCGGGCCCCGGGGGGCCTCCGGAGGGGGCCACCTGACGCCCAGGCGCCTCTGGGGACCTCTGGACGACGCCAGAGACCTCACGGCTGCTTTGGCTGCCCTGCTCCTCTGCCGCGGCCGCTCCTTGTGAACGCTGCTCTCCTGTCTCCCCAGGCTCTGTGCCTGCTGTTCTGCGCATGGTGCTCCAGCGTTCCGGTTATCACATGACGCGTTTCGACCGGGACGTTGTCGTGCTCGTCAAACAGGTGGTCCAGCTGCTGCGTTCGCTACGCGTACGGGTCTGTCTGTCTGTCTGTCTCTCTCTCTCTCTCTCTTTTCTTTCTTATCTCCACACATATGTAGTGTGCCCCTCCTCCTCGCGACAAACCCCCATGTATCGCCTCACAGACTGATTTCCGATCTCTTGTTAACCTTCTTATTGTTCAGTCTGAGTATTTGTACCCTCGCTCCCATGACATTGTGCAGTGGTGTTCCCGCCGCTCTGGCGTACGGTTATCGCGCACACACAGCATTTCTGCCTGTGTCATCCTCTTAGCATTTTACAATCGCAGCGTGTTCGACCCCTCGAACAAATTTGTTCCCGCCGCAGCGTTGGCCACACGTCACGTCAGAATGAACTCAATGTTCCAGTCTTGCTGAGTTGCGCTATCACCACAGCGCTGGCCACATTCCTGGATCCGACTTGTTTTCTCGTCGCTACTGCCAAGCTGCGTTCCCCTTCTCTGGCTTCTCTTCGTCCTTCTGTTCCTCCAGCTCGTCCTCCAGCGCCTGCTGTTGTTGTTGCTCTGTTGCTCTTCCTCTTCCACCTTCACCATCATCCTTCTCTTCATCCTGCTCATCCGCCTGTTCACTTGCCTCCCCCTTCTCCAACGTGCAGATCCCCCGTCATCACGTGATGGGGAGGTGAGAGCCAGGCCCTCTAGCACACCCCAATCGGCGGAGAGGAAGTAGTCCAGTGCAGCGGGCAGGAGTGAGTGGGAGGGGGGAGGATGTCAGATGTTCCGCAGGCACGCCTCGCTTGTCTCCATCCCCTCTCTCTCTCGCTCTCTCTTCATTATCCTCTCCCTCTGCCTCTCCCGCCTCCTCCTCGTCCTCCTCCTCCTCCTCCTCCTCGTCCTCCTCCTCGTCCTCCTCCTCGTCCTCCTCCTCCCGCTCTTCTTCCCTCCTCTCCTGCGGTCCTCACTCTTTCCCCCCCCCCCCCCCACACACACCCACCAAAGAGAAGGGTCCCGCGCGGGGGACCCGCCGTGAGGGCGGATGGCAAGACGCTTATCACCTCCCACAGCGTCGTGGCCTTGGCGGGAGCCCGCCGCCGCGGGGACAGAGGGATGGGGGCAAGTTGTGGGGGGGGGAGGAGAGGCTGTCGGTAGCGTACCAATGGAACCACCGAGTTCCCCGAACACGAAGTATGAATCATACTGAAGAGGGATCGAACATATTTGCTCGTTGACTCTTATCGGCACAGGGGGCCCTACAACGGTTTGGGTCAAGTACAGCAGTGGCAACGCGTGCATATGCACGTACATAGCCTGCGCACGACACCATACATAGCTAACCAAATTCGAAGTGATCTGTGCCGTTGACTCAGGGAACAAAAACGAGAGCGGTTGGCTTCCCATGTCCCGCAGGCAGGACTGAAAACGGCACGCCCTCGCATCCAGCCAAGTATGAAGCTTGAGCCAGCCACTGCATCTGAAACAATACAGCAAGGAAACCTGCTCACGATACATTTATGTCGTAGGCGCCGTGAACCAGGGTTTTCTTCCACACACACCGTCCTGGGCCATCTCCCCACACGCCCACGAAGTCCAGCCAGCTTGTGAACTCCGCGTTCGGCCTCGCCGCCTGCTGGTAGCCCACCACGTACCGAAACCCCTGTCTTGTCATAGGGGAACGAACATCGACATGAGCATAAACAACTCGGAGGTCCGCGCGGACTTCTCGGATCGGCGCTGGACCCGGGGAGCGCGCCAGGGGCGGCGCCGGAGGCGCTGCCAGGGGGGTCCAGCGCCGATCACAGAAACCCCGGCGGACCTCCGAGTTGCTTATGCCAATGTCATTGTTCGCTCATGTATGGCAGATCTCTCCTGTGCGTGCTCTGCGACTGCGTTTCGGCCGCCCTCCTCGCTTTCCGTGTTCGAGCCTCCAGTGCGTCTCTTCTTGCTCGCCGAGAGCCCCCGCATGCGGGCGCGCCCTTCGCCAGTTCTGGAGCCCGGCCCTCTCGTTCGTGTGGCTCCTGATTTTCCTGCCCCTATTGTCAGTCGGGCCTGTCGCTCTGCAGGAGGAATATCCAATAATAGTCCAACACATAGTCTGAGGACGACTTGTTTGATTAATGTTTGAATTGTTTTGAATAGCCGCTGACCCTCTTTAAAAATCAATGTTCTTGCACAAATCCGCCTGTAGGGTGTCATGCCCGACCTACTCCTACCCACGAAGTCCACGAAAGGGTTTCAAGGTCCTTTTCACGGTCTCTGATCTTCTTCATCTTCTCTTGCAGTGCGGCGTTCTCCAGGTGTGCGCTTCCGAGCTTCTTGATCTTCCCTTGCTCCGACCTGGTAGTCTCTCGGCCAGCCGCGCTCGCTCTTCCTCAGCACCAGGCGCCCCCATTGGACGGTCCTCCGATCGTTGCGGGCCCCTCAGGAAGTGTTTCCTGTCGCGATGCCTTCACCAGCACCAAGCACGAGGGACGTCGGCTCACTGTCGTCCATCCGCCCGTCCCCGATTGCCAATATGATGGAGCCTCCTTGGGACTCGCCGTTTGGCCTCGTTGCCCACGACGCGTCCCAGTAAACCCCAAGTCGCAGCAGTTCCCACGTGGCCACGCACCAGATCGGAAGTCCCACGTCTCCGTTCGCCCTCAGGAGCCGCAGTGTCGTGTTGGCCTCCAACACACCGCCGGCGGGCGCGTTGCTCACGTTGCTCTGAGCAAACAGCCGTCGCCGCCGCCTGCACCAGACACTGCGATGCCGGCCACTGCACGGCGCCGTTCAGCCCACGAAGTTGATTGATCTCTTTCGGCATGCACTGGACGCCCGGATGAACGCGGCGCACCTTTTTGATATTCCTCAGCTTCACCATGGGGCTGTGCTGCTCGGCCTGCACCTCGATTTTGTTCCTGGACTGGGACTGTGTGTCCCCCATACCACACATCACGATACTACCCGAGAGCTCCCACTTCCGGAACTTGAAGCGCTTGCTCAAGGCCCGAACTCGGTCCAGAGAGGTTCCTTCGTACGCCCGCTTGCCCGTGAAGTCGGCCTCGCACTCCAGGTTCTCGTTTCCGCCGTAGGAGGCGTCCACGTGCTACGCCGTCAAGGATGTATCTAGCACTGGTTGTCGTCCGACTCCCAGTCCAGGAAGGGGTCGCCTCCTTTGACCGCCAGCCTGAACGGCAGGAAACAGCACATGTCCAGCTTGCGCTGCAGGAGCCCGACGTCGATGCTGGCCGCCGTGCTGGTCTGGTTCCACTGTCGCGGGGCCCGCGCGTCTCCGACAGCGGGCTTCAGCGTCTGCAATGGTTATTTGGTCCTCCTTCAAGCCAGTGAGTTTGCCTGCCTGCGGGGTTCAGGGGCGACTGACTCCTACGTGGCCACTGAAGACGTTCCTCGCGGCTTCTGGCGTGGGCGGCATCACCAAGCCCCTAGCGCGCAGCGCTACTTGCAAGTTGCCGACGCTTCGTCGGCATCATCCGCCCTCCCTGCGCTCGCGCGAATGCGCATTGTCCTCTCGACCCCGCTGCTGGCGACCGCTCGGTCGCTTCTTTGTCGCTGGCCCTCCTGCGTGGTCAACTCATCTTGTGGCCGCCCCGCTGCATCGCCAACCTCGGTGCCCAGTCGGCTTCGTGCGTCAGAGCAGCTCCGCGCGGCCCTTGCGCTCGCCCGCCGCGCCGACCGCCCAGCGGCCGCTCGCTTGCGCCGAGCGCGGGAGGATGCTTCACTTGATCATCCTCGCCTCCTGCACCCCTGCGGTCCCCGCGGCCTCTCTGCCCCGCCTCCCCCGCTTACCTTTGCCAAGGTTGACCTCAGGCGCTGCCGCGTCTCAGGAGGAAATGAAACACACAGACACAATTCATCCTCGATTCCCCAGAAAGTATGGGAAAATATGGGAAGTGGGGGGGAAGACAGAAACCCAGAAAATATGGGAAAAGATGGGGAATCGTTTTATTTGTGTGTATTTATGTGTGTGTCCTGGGGCCCCTTCAGCGTCGCCGACCTTCGGCGGCCAGACGGCCTCGTCCGTCCGGGCGGTGCCGCGCGGCCCGGCCGCGCGCAGCGGCCCGGCCGCGCGCTCGGGGGCCCTCGCGCGCGCGCGCGTCCGCCGCGTCGGCCGCCCGACGCCGCCCGTTGCTGCAGCTTGCCGGTTGATACCGCACCCAGATGGTCTGGTACTGGAAATTTTCGGTAGCGATTTCGACGCACCCCGAATTTCGGTAGCGACCGGATCTTCGTTTGAGTGCGTTGAAATAGCGGATTTCAGAACGCTCTGATACCGGTATTGGGCGCTACATTTCGGTATTTCGGTAGCGACCGATCTCTGCGGAGCGCTACCGGAAATTTTCGGTAGCGGACCATCAGGGCACAGGGGGGGGGCGGGACTCTTTTCAGCCATGTAGCCTTGCGCGAGTGTGAGGTGGCTCGAGTTCGCAGCGGATTGCATCCGCGTCACTCACGTATTCGTCGGCCTGCTGCTGGAAATCAACATCCTGGGCACTTTGCAGGAGCAGGGGGAGCAGGGAGGAATAACGGAGTAGAATCGGGGGAGGTAGAGAGGACGAGGCTCGAGGGGTGAGGGGGAGGAAGGTTCGCACGATTCCACCACCATACCCTGGCCAGTTGCGTGTGGCCAGTCGCTCGTCCTTCCCTTGGTCGCCCGCAAGTGCTACAGTCCCGTGCGGATGGGGCGGCGTTCAGTGGCAAAGTTGTTTTTTGTTCGGGAATCCAAGGTGCCAGGCCCGCCACTCTTCGAACACGTGAAGATCAGCTCTCGCCATCCTGCTCTTCCTCCACGGTCCTTGTCCACGATTTCCCCCTCTCCTCCTCGAGTGTCCTGGTCGTCCATCCCCTTCGAATCTAGCCGCTTCGCGTAACCCCACCAGCTGTGCACTACGGCGCCCTTCCACTCGTTGGATCTGGGCTGACGCATCTCAGTTGTGGAAGGTTCTCCTGTCAGCACGCTCCACACCCTGGATGCGCGTTCTGGCGTCGCGACTTCGTGTCACCGTCAGGATTTTCCGCTGGACTTATGTCCCCAGTCAGTCTGTGTTACCCGTCAGACTCCCTGGATCGATGTCCTCGGGAACGTTCCTTTCTCTTCGCATCTGGACTTCTGGGAACGCCTCACGCGCCATTTTGGCTGCGCTTGGTCTCCTCGGTGCCTGTCCTCAGGCTCGTTGGATGCACCGTTGCATGCCCGTCCAGGGGCTGTCTCTGTCTCCCTGGATTGCACGTCGGCTGCCGCCCTGGGCGCTGCCTCCCCCGCCGCCTGATCCGCGGCCCCCGCGCGCGCTAGGCAATTTAGTCGCGGCCGTAGCCCGCCCGCGACCTCCCGCCGCTGGCGCTTCCGCCTGCGGCTGTAAAAAAAAGTAACCCCACCAGCCCATCCAGAAACGATGCCCAGAGGAATTGCCTCGATCAGGGAAGTGGGCAGCACACAGAGGAAGGGTCCCCCAGTGGAGGCCTCTTGGGGCGTCTTGGGGTCCTCTTGGCGGTCCCGGACGCCTCTTAGAGCGTCTTGGGTGCCTCGGTTGCTGCTTGAGGCCTCTTGGGGGTCTGTTGGGGGCCTCTTGGAGGCCTCTTCGGCGCCAGTTGGGGCCTCCTGGGGCCTCCTGGGCGCTCTTGGATTAATTTCCCCAAGGTTTTGGAATGATTTTGGCCTCTTCGGGGCCTCCTGGGGGATTTCTTTGGCCACTTGGAGCTGTCTTGGAGCGGTCTTGGGGCCTCTTGGAGCATCGCGATAGCCATCGTGAGACATCTTGGGATATCTTGAGCCATCTTGGAGGTCATCTTGGGCTCTCCCAGGCGCTCTTGGAGTCATCTTAATCAGTACCTCCCCACCCAGGAGACCAACAAGTTGCCAAAACCTACGTAAACTCAATGGTTTTAGCATTCTCGCCGAGACCTCTTGGAGCGTCTTGGGTGCCTCTGGGGGGCCTCTGGGGGCCTCTGGGGGGTCTCTTGGGAGCTTCTTTGGGGCATCCTGGGGGCCTCTTGGGGGCCTCTTGGGGCCTCCTGGCCACCTCTTGGGGCCCTCTTGGGGCACCCTTGGGAGCCTTGGGAGCGCTCTTGGGGCCTGGGGCCATCTCGGAGGAGATCGATCAAACAAGAGGTGAGCATTAATTAGCGTCGCCCCCCCAGAAGGCCAGAATGGGGCCAAAACCTTAGTAAAATCAATGATTGTGGCTTCCTCGCCGAGGCCGTTTCGGACGCTCCGACAGTTCGCGGAACCCTTTGTCCAGGTCCATGGGGAGGGGGTGGGGGGAGGGGTAAACCCCTCCCCGAAGAGGAAGAAGGAGGGGTGGAAGAGGAAACGCCCTAAACCACCGACGCCCAGAGTGCTGGTGGGATTTGATCCCCGATTATCCTCCCCGATCTTCCTCCTCCTCGATCCTCCCCGCCGATGGTCCTCGATCGTCCTCCTCCTGCTCCCCGCCACCACCTCCCACCCGCGCTCATCGTGGCCGTGCCCGCAATGCCCCGCCTGCCGTTGCGCCCGCGAGTTTGGGCGTGCTTCCTTGGGCCCTTGGCCGCTCGATTGCAGCATTCGTGGCCTTCTCGGAGGGCCCCGTGCCAAACGCACGACGGTGCCACTAGCGACGACGGGGCGAGATCGGTCCTTGGAGTCCTTGCGATCCGATTCGATCCCCAAACTTCGGTGCCGATTCGATCAGGTCAGATCTAGCGCGGAACGAGTCCCAGTCCGGCTTCAGTGGCCGAGCGGATCTGCGATCCCATGACGAGCCGATTCCGATCTGATTCCACTGCGATCCGGGTGCGGTCGGATTCGTTGGAGATTCGAAACGCCCTCGCGGTTCGATCCAGATTGGGCCTGCCAGCAAGTGCGTGGACTGCCCCAGCTCTCCAGATAGGGCGATAGTAGGACCAGAAATGCATGCTCGCATCTTTCGATACGGGAGCCCGTTGACGGCTTACTTGGGTGCTCCTGAAAGCATGTTGGAGGCATTTGGGTCTCTTTGGGGGCTATGCTGGTGTTCTTTTGGAGCTCGCTTGAAGGCCTCGGGCCCCCTCTTTGGGCCATCTTGGAAGCCATCAATCAAAAAAAGGGGGATCCTTAGCCATGCTGCCCCCCCCAGCATCTTGGCCAAAATGGCCACCGATCGGTGGCGGATCGATCATCTTTCTGCCTCCATCTCCTTTGGGTGGGCGTTCTGCGGCGGCAGCTGGCTCACGAGCACCTGGGGAGCAGCGGCTGGCCAGCCCGTCGGCCCCCATCGTTCGGCTCGACGAGGCCCAGCAGCTCGGGCGACGCCTCGAGGATCCAGCACGTCAACAAACAAGAAACTTCCGGCGCTCCGCGAAGATTTCTTGGATCGGCGGGGGGCTCCCCCGGCGGGGCCTCCAGCGCCGCCCCCGGGGCGCTCCGCGCTCCGCGCGCGCCGGCAAATGCTCCTCCTGTGTGTGTTGTTCCTCTGGCACTTTGGGCCCCTTCCGTCGCGTGGGTCGCAGCCCTTAGGACCTGTAGTGTCGCGTCTCCCCAGAAGCTCACGCACGGGGTGCAGGTTGCGGGTCTCGAGCGCGGCCTCCGTCGGGGCGTGCTCTCTTAGCGGACGAGCCCTCGCTGCGCGTACGCGCTGTCAACAAGGAAGAGCAGCAGCAGCAGGGATGCCCCTGCTCCTCGTCTTTATCTCCCCGGTCTCGTCTGCCTGCCGAAAGGTGGACGGCGTCATCGCCACCGATGTGCTGCTGGACGCCCTGCAGTGAGCAACTCCTCCCCCCTCTTGCGGCAGCGTCCGCGGATGCGGGCCAGAGGAGAAGGATCGACGATCCAGGTTCTAAGCTCGATGTCTTTCTGGGCTCAAAACGCACCGGGGGAGGAGGAGGAGGAGGCGGAAAAGGAAAATATCCATATTAAGCCCATCGCACACACATGCGTACATGCGTAGCACCCCGCAGTTGCGCATAAGAGTGAGGGGGCGGCGAGGTCGTCAGCAGTCTGTGAGACTATGAAGAAGCCCGCCGCAGGCACATATTGTTCGTCAAATAATGTGGGTTGGTCGCGGGTGGGTCGCGAGTGGGTCGCGGGGTGGGTTGCGGGCTGGGTCGCGGGATGGGTCGTGTGCGGGTCGCGGGCGAGGACGACAACAACATCAGCAACGAAACAAGAAGGCAACACCAACAAAAACAGCATCAACAACAGTAAGACTCTTAAGACTATTAGTTCTTAATTGGTCGCGCGCCATTCAACGCATAGATCCCAAACCCTCGGTACCAACCCTCTTCGTTTTCGATCATACCCCCTTGGGGATATATCTTTCTTACCTGCAACGTGCGTTTCATGCAGCCCCTAAGGCAGGAAAAGAGATGACGGATGGAAGGACAGGGCAATGGGGAGGGAGTAGGATGGAGCAAGGGAGAGAGAGTAGCAGGACAAGGGCTAGAATCAGAAAACACGTGGCATAATCAGACGGGCAGACCGGGCGGGTAGACCTTAACGGGCGGGCCGGGAAGGCGGGCCCAGAGGCCAGGTCGAGCAGGCGGGTTGCTCAAGCGTGGGTCCTGCATGAATCACGAGTAAGTTTCGAGCGATAGCGCGATTCCCGAGGAACTCGTGAAACATCCTAAGCGGGAGCGTTATTCCTGAGTGTCAAGGGCGCGGCGCCTGAACAAAAACATGTGAGGAAGTCCCACGCGAGAGCACGATTCCTGGATACATTATGAGGATGTGCAGCGTGAGAGAGCGATTTTCGAATGCACTGCGATGAAATGTCAGGCGAAAGCCGTTGTTGTTGTAACCTGGGGGCCTGAGAACCAGTTCGGTGACACTTCATTTCCCTCTCAAAAGCAAGGTGCGATCCATGGGGGGCGCACTTGATTTGAAAAGTGCAATACTCACCACAGGCGGGGATCAACATGACTAATTTTTCAGAAAGGAGCGTTTAACAATAACATCAACACCAACAAAAAACAACCACAACAGCAACGACGACGACGACGAGGAGTGCGACAACAACAACGACACTAGCAACAACGATAATTTCAATACTGCTGGCGTGCCACTCGACACGTATATCCCGAATCCTCGGTACCCGCCTTCTTCGTCTTCGATCGCGCCCTCTTGGCTTTTATGTTTCTGACCGGCCACGTGCAATTAGCTCAGGCCTTAAAACCAGTGCAAGAGGAGACGGATGGAAGGGGGAGGAAGAAGGATGGAGCACGACATGAGTTACCAGGGTGGCGGCATAACCCGACGGGCACAACCAGACGGGCACAACCCTAGCGGGCGGGTCGGGCAGACCCGATAGCGCGATCCCCAAGTAAGTCGTGCGAGAGGGCAAAGCGAGAGCATGCTTCTGGAGTGTCGAGGGCGCGGCGTCTGAACAAATTTGCGAGGAGGTGCCAGGCGACAGCGCGGGAGCGGACGCGCCAGCTTTGTGGGAAAGCCGGCTTTCGGCGGCGAGCAAGAGCCCCGGTCCCGAGTGGAAAAGGGGAGGTATCGAACGGAAGCGTTATTGTTGTTGTTGTTGTTGTTGTTGCTGCTGCTGCTGCTGCTGTTGTTGTTGTTGTTGTTGTTGTTGAACATTATTACTTCTAAAGAATAATTATTGTTGGGACCCCTGGTGCATGGCCCCCCCGCCGCGCCTAGGCCGCAGCCACGTTTTCATCATTTTCGTGAGGAAGTCTCAGGCAAAACGATGTGTCCAGATCCGGTTGTGTTGTTACGATCGGTTTTCCCTTGCAAAAAATAAGCTAAAGTGGACATTTCTTGTTCTAACATAACCAAACTTCAAGAATCCCTTGCAAAAATAAGGTAAAGTGGACATTCGCGCGCGCAAGACGAAATCCTTCCAAAACCTTAGTTTTCGTAGCGATTTTAACATAAAAACATCAAAAAACCAATGGTTTTTCAAACAAAAATGTCAAAATTTCATCCCGCGCGCTCTTGCGGATTCGTAGGAAACCCAACACTTTTTAATCATTTCTGTCAAACGGGCTTTTGCGAGCAACTTTTTCGAACTTCTGCAACAACGGTTGCGCACCTGCCAGGGCCATCATCCCTGTCAAATAATACCATGCGGGACACATTCGTTTTTTCTTCGCGCGCGCACGCCGTCGTCGTCGGCCGCGGGGCCCTGAATAGTAGCCACGGTCGTCCGCATGCCACGAAGTGAAGTGTCCGAACGTCATAGGGCGGGAAGCTGGGTGTGGGTGGTGGCGAAGAGTCGTTTGGAAATTTGGTAGAGCTTGAACCGGCCCCCCCACAAAGTGGGGGTATTGCCCGCCTCCTATGAAAACCCTGGCACTGGTGAGAACGGAGTGTCCCCACGTGCTAGTAATTGTTGTTGTTGTTGTTGTTGTTGTTGTTGTTGTTGTTGTTGTTTCGGGGCCCGTTTCGGCGCACCCCCGAAACGCCAAAGAGCGAGCCTCCATTTGGAAAGAAATGCAGCCGGCGCCGAAGAGCGAGCGCCAAAGCGAATTCAGGGGTAGAGCAATCATAGTTGTTTCGTAATTAGGGTTTTATCCCCACCGCGGAACCTCACTTCAGCCTCGCGCCCAGGGTCAATGCATGACCGTTCTGCCCCCGAGCTCCAAAATGTGTGTATATATATGTATGTATCGATCGACATGTGCATCTGCATCGGCATTGGTATGTACATATGTTCACGCAAATTTACACCTACGTCGTGATGTGTACATCTCTGTGTGTGTGTGTGTGTTTGTTGCGCACCCTGCGGCACGTGGCGCGAGGCGCTGCGACTGCGGCTCGCGGCGCGCCTGGGCGCGCCGGATTTTTTTCGGTTTCAAGGTCCCCCGCTTCCCCCTCCCCCCTCCCCCTTTCCCCCTCTCCCTGCCGCAGGGTTCAGCCACGCGCAGAGGGGGGTGGGGGGAGGGGGGAGGGCTTCTTAGAAGCATCCCTGCTTCTTAGAAGGCGCAGGCCTTGTCTATAGATGTAAGGCCGGCGCCTTCTAAGAAGCAGCCTCCTTCTAAGAAGCCCTCTCCCCTCCCCCCACCCCCTTGTGCGCGCCGCCAAAGGGTGCTCCGTGGATGGTAAAGATGTGTTGCGCACCCTCCCGTCCCAGGTCCACTCTGCGCGACTCCCTGGACGCCTTCCTCCCTCCCTGCGCGAAGCGCCCGAGGCGAGCGCCCCATGGGCCCGCAGTGCCTGGTGGGGGGGGCTCCGCCTGGAAGGAGGGGCCGCCCTCCAGCCTTCGAGCTTCTCAAGGATCGGGGGGAAGCGTCGGGGGCTCGAGTAAGCCGGAGCTCGGGTTTGCCGACGTTTTTTGACGAACGCGTCTCGGGGACGGAAAAGGGGGGGGTGGATATCATGGCGGGAGCCATGATATCCAAGGAGGTGGCCAAGGAGGGGGACGGAGGGGGAGCAGGGAGGTGGCCAAGGGAAAGAGGGGGAATCGGATGTGGGGAGGATTGGGAGAGAGGAGCAGGAGGAGGGCCAAAAGCAGGATGATGGACAGGAAGAGGAAAAGGGTACATGAGGGGAAGGAGGAGGAGCAGGAGGAGGTGGACGAGGAGCAGGATCAGGATGGACGAGGAGGAAGGAAGGGAGGCAGCTGTAGGAGGCGGGAGGTGGAGCAGAGTGGGAAGGAGGGGGAGGAGGGGAGGAGGAGGAGTAGAAGGAGGGGGGAGGAGGCGGAGGTGGAGGAGGAATATGAGGAGGAGGTGGAGGGGCAGCATCAGGCGGCATGAGGAGCAGAGTTGGGAGGATGTGGCCGTGGAAGAGGAACGTGAACTGAAGAACATGCTGATGATGCTGGTGGTGGTTTTGATGACGACTCGCATGATGATGCTGATGATGATGATTATGATGTTGATGGTGATGACCCTAATGATGATGGTGATGGTGGTGATGATGATGCTGAGGAGTAGGAGGGGCAGCAGGATGATGCTGCTGGTGGTGATGATAGATATTATGATGGTGATGATGATGACGATGCTAATGACGACGACTATGATGGCGCTGATGATGATGGCGATGATGTTGATGATGATGGTAGTGGTGATGGTGATGGTGATGGTGGTGATGATGGTGCTCATGATGGTGCTCATGATGGTGCTCTTGATGGTGATGCTGATGCTGATGCTGACGATGATGGTGATGCTGATGTCGATGCTTGTGAATATGTTGATGCTGATGATGATGATGATGATGATGATGAGGATGAGGATGATGATGATGATGATGATGATGATGATGATGATGATGATGATGATGATGATGATGCTGATGATGATGATGATGATGATGATGATGATGATGATGCTGATTGAGATGTTGTTGGTGATGATGCTGGTGGTGGTGATGATGGTGACGATGATGGTGATTGTGATGGTGGTGATGATTGTGATAATGATGGTGATGGCGGCGATTGTGAGTGTGATAATGATCATGATTGTAGTGGTGAGCAGGAGGAGGATGAGGAGGAGGAGGAGGAACGACTGAGGAGCGTTGGAACGTATAAGGGATGTTGGTCATGGTGGAGGCGTTGAAAAGTAAAACGAGGTCGGGTTCTGTGGGAGGCGGGGGAGGAGGGGGCAATGAAGGCGTAACAGGATGATGGAGGAGGAGGAGGGAGGAAGAATAGCAGGAGATAGGAGGAGGGGGTGGAGCAGGAGGAGGAGGAGGAGGTGGAGCAGGAGGAGGAGGAGGGAAGGATGGAGGAGGAGGAGGAGGACAAGGAAGAGGAGGAGAGAGGAGGGATCTAAGCGGGATTAGGGGAACGCGGAGGGACTAGGAAGGGGGCAAGGAACCAGGCCAGGAAGAGCGAGCAGGGACGGATGAGCAGGAGCAGGGATACCGGGGAGGGGGGGGTAGGTCCGAGGCAGTGAGCCCCTTTCTCCTTCGGATGCTTCACCTTCTTCGATCATGGTCGTCTTGTCGCTTGGTGCCCAGGCGGTGCGAGATGGACATTGAGGAGCATGGGGAGGAGGAGGAGGAGAAGGAGGAGGAGGTGGTGGTGGAGGAGGGATAGCGGGAGTGGGAGTAGGGAGGGCGGCCGCCATCGGCGTCGTCCTCGGCGACGGCGGCCGACGACGGACGTTCGGCCGCCGGCGCCTCCCGACGTGGCGGCCTCGACAGAGGTACTCCATCGTGCGGCACCCGGCGCTCCGTGCGGCCGTGGAGCCGCCGCAGGAAGACGCCGCGCAGGAGAGTCGTCGTCGTCTTCGTCGTCGTTGTCCGCGTCGTCGTTGTGGTCGGTCGTCGGTCGTCGGTCGTCGCCCCTCGTCGTCGGCAGCCTCCTCCCCGGCTCGATCCGTTTCCCTTCTCTCTCCTCCGTCATCCCATTCTCCTCACTTGCAGCCGCCTTGGGCAGAGACGAGGCTTCCCGGGGAAAGAAATAGGAGCACAGTTGAACAGCTCGGACGTCTGGTTCTGCCAAATTTTAGGTCATATGGGGCAAGCAGTGTTGTTTGAGCGCATGGCTCTGAAAGGAGCAGCGTGTTCGAGATATTGTGTTCCCGGTTGGTTTGAAAGACGTTTCCAAGCAGGAGCCCAGGGTATGTTGTGGTTTTGCATGCCATCGTAACATCGACTTCTCGCTGGCTCGTCTTGTCACGTTGCTCGGGGCATTGTATTAGAATTGGGGTCTGCCGACGAGCTTCGGCGAGGTGGCTCGGCTCACAATGCAGCGGCGAGCGTTCTTCCTACATCGGTCGGCTCGGGGGACTCGTCGAGCAATGCCCGCGCTGCTACCCTTCCCAATCCCTGCTTCGCCCTTGTTGTGCCAGCGGGCTTGCGCTGCCCCTCGCGCGCGGCGCCCGCGCGAAGCGGAATGGAGCTCTAGTCGCCCATTTGCGCCTTGCGGAACACCGCTCGCATTCTGCGCCCAACCTCCTCCCAATAGCAGCCGGGCTGCCAGGGCCGCTTTGCGGGCCGCCCCTGGGACCCAGGCGCGCGCGATGGATTCCGCCCCCATTTACGACCTATTGGGCAAGGGCGGAGGCGGGGGTGGGGGCAGCGGATTTGAAACTTGAATGGTCAGCCACTCCTTCCCAGCCCACTCGCCTTGTTGGCTCGGGGGTCATAGGGGGAATTACAAGCATAAATGCACACATGAACAAGTATGACAGAACTGCCTCAGACAACCGAATTCAGAATCATGGGTTTCGGTTCGGGTTAGCACCCCCAGATTTTTTTGATTTCCCACAACGCCGTGTATGGTTTGAAGGGGAAGGCGTTGGACTCCCGCGAGGAAGCATCTTCTCGTCCTCCGCGTTCATCCTCATCATCCTCATCATCATCGTCCTCCTCCGCCTCCTCATCATCAACACTTCCCTCCTCCTTACGAGGAGTGCGACGAGTGAAAGGAGCGGGAGGAAGAGGAGAAGGAAGAGGAGGACCAGGAAGAGGGGGAGCAGGAGGAGCAGGAGGAGGAGTGAGTAGGAGGAGGGGGAGGTGGAGGACGGCGCTGAGATATCCACATAAACAGCGGGGAAGCAGCACATACAACACACATACACAGTCATTGGAACAACCCAAGGAGGATCCCCGGGGAAACCGCCCGAAGGCAAAACGTCCGAAGGGAAACCCCTGATTCTCTGTGCGACATCTGTTTTCTTTGTTGTGGCTGTCATGGTTGATGTTCCTCCGGTGTTCATCGAATGGCCTTGTGCCAGGGTTGTGGGTCAGAGTTCTCAGGGATTCGAGGTCTCTTCGGAGCGCCCTCGAGGGCTTCTTGAGGCCTTCTTGGGGCCCCTCGGGAGCCTCTTGGGAGCCTGTTGGGGGCCTCTTGGAGCCTCTTGGGGTCCTCTTGCGGTTTCTTTTGGGGTCCTCTTGGGGCTTCCTGGGAGCCCCTCGGGGCCGAGGGTTCGACATGTCCGCTCGGGCTCCCCGTTTGGGACCCCTCTTGGAGCCGCCTTCGGACCATCTTGGGGCGTCTTGGGGCTCCTCCTCCCCCTCCTCCTCCCCCTCCTCCTCCTCCTCCTCCTCCTCCTCCTCCTCCTACTCCTCCTCCTCCTCCTCCTCCTCCTCCTCCTCCTCCTCCTCCTCCTCCCTCTCCCCCTCCTCCTCGGGGCCTTCTTGGGCCGTCTTTGGGCCCTCTTGGGGGGGTCTGGGGCCGTCTCGAGCCGAGATCCTGGGAGCCCTCTGGGCAGTCTTTGAGCGTCGGGAAGCCGAAAAAAAGGGGAGCAGGTCAACGCCAGTCGGAGACTTCAGGCACATCAGTGGTGTTTGCCCCTTGGGCCCTCTTGGGAGGCTCTTGGGGCGTTTTGGGGGCTTCTTGGGGCCGTCTTGACGCCATCTTTGGCGCCTTGGGGCGATCGCTCGACGACTTGTGGCCCTCTGCGGCCGTCTCGTAGGCATCATGGGGCCCTCTGGGCCTGTCTCGGCGCCTTCCTGGGCCCGGAATAGTCATGCGGCGAGACGGTTCACGGCCAAGGGGAAGCGCGCCAAGCCCCAACCAGCTTTCGAAGGCGTTGCGAAGAGACCCCTAAGAAGCATCCCTGAGACCTCTGACCCACAACCCTGGCACGATGGTGGGATGAGCCGAAGACCATTCGATGAAAACCAGTGGAGAACCACCACAGCAAAAACACATACTTACCTATACGACCATCCTCCGGGTGATAAGGAGGTTTGGGGGGAAGGGGGGGGAACCAACATCTGACTCAATCGATCTCATTATCGATCTCACTCAACGGGACACCATAGGATACCACGGGACACCTCGGGACAGCACATCGATCTCACTATCGATCTCACTCAACGGGACACCACGGGACACCACGGGATACCTCTCGATCTCACTATCGGTCTCACTATCGATCTCACTTGTTGGGACACCACGGGACACCTCGGGGCACTACATCGATCTCAGTATTGATCTCACTATCGAGCTCACTATCGATCTCGCTCAACGGGACTTCACGGACACCACGGGACAACACGGGACACCACGGGACACCGCGGGACACCGCGAGCCACCGTCGGACGGACGGTCGGACGGGGGAGAATCATTTGTTTTGACTTCGCCCTAGCAACGGCGGACACCACGGGACACCACGGGACACCCCCGGACACCGCGAGCGACCGCCGGACGGACGGACGGACGGAGGATTATCATTTGTCTTGATTTAGCCCTAGCAGCGGCTGGTGCATTCCTCTCGCGCGCCCACGCAGCTTCGCCTCGCCCGCACGCACAACACGAACGAAACGAAACGATTTCCCGATTGGGGGTCTCCGTTCCACTGCGATCTCATCCCCCAACCTCTGATCTTGGCGAAGGTCCCAACCACATGCAGCTGTTAGTACCGCATTGTGGGTACCGCTTTCGGTGGGGCTCCATATGGGGCCACGACCCTCGTAAGGGGTGTGCCGACATGGGCGGGGGGACGAACGCGAACCATGCCACTGGGGCCTTCGGTGCAGCTCCCTATTGGGCCACGATCCTCGTCAGGAGTGTGCCGAAATGGGCGGGGGGACGCTTGCGGACCCTGCCAGCGGGGCCTTCGGTGAAGCTCTCAATGGGGCCACGATCCTCGCGAGGGTAGTGCAAATGGGGGGACGCATGCGGACCCTGCCACTAGGGCCTTCGGAGGAGCTCCTTATGGGGCCACGATCTCCTGAGGGGTGTGCCGGCATGGGCGGGGGCGCCCATCCTACGAGAAGGGCAGCGAGAGTCGCGGCGCCAACACCGGCGGCTCCGCAGGAGCCAGCGCTGACAGCAGCGGAGGAGCGGACGCTCCCGTCCGCGATCATCAAGCTCGACGCGAACACGAGGAGTGGACCTTCACCTCGGCCGACTACGCCGGCAACCAGCTGGTCTTCCTCGATGTGGTTGGCCTGCCCCCATGTCAGACTATGTGCGACGCGGCCAATTCCTGACATCCTTTTGTCGTCTTTGCTCGATTGTTGCAGATGTGGAATTCATTTTTCAGCGCGCGTCAGCGAGTCATATTCGACGGGGGCAGAGAGTTCGAGCGAGAACTTTACAAGGAATTCGAGGACATGGGCTGCCGCTTTATGATGACTGCCGCCGCCGCGCCGCAGCAGAACGCCACTGTGGACAGGCGTGGGGGCGCGTGTAATGTCCATGCTAAGAGGCTGATCGACCAGTTCAGCATGAGATTCGACAAGGCCCAGACCGCCCACAATCCAGCGGCCGCTCGCAGCAGTCTGCTGGGCTATGAATAGCCACGTCAATGCCTTCGGACATTCGCCATCTCAGTGGGTGCTCGGGCGGGGACTGCAGTTGCCGCATTGCTTGCTGGACAGCGCAGGGAGGCCCTCGCTTCACGAGCGCACCGTGTCCGATAAGCCAGTCTCCGGGAGGTTCGCCATCATGTAGGCCGCCCATACCTCCATCGAGCAGCCGAAGTTCAATCAGACCCTGTCCAGAGCGGTGATGGCCCGATCACGGGCTGATGGGGCCCGGCGCGCCTCCGACGTCTATCAGACAGGCGGCAAGGTCTGTGCTGGGGAGGCAGTGGCAAGCCCAAGAGAGAGTGCACCCTTCAGTGGCATGGGCCCGGCGTCAGCATCGGCTTCGAGGGCGCCGCGAACGCCTGGGTCAGCCACCGCTCCGCGCCGTGGAGCCAGGTGCTCGACGCCCTGAAACAGGATAGCCGCCGCTCCCAGGCCAGCCTCCAGGCGCGCCCGACCACCGCCACCGGTTCCCGACAGCGGGCGTCGAGGACCGCCGCCGCCCAGCTCGGAGGAGGACGCGGTGGACCACCGCCGCCTGGCTCTGGAGGATGAGGTGGACACGCGCCTCCGAGGGGCGACGGCGACGTGTTCATAGATCTGACTGCTGCTTCTCTACGGAAGCGGCCACGTCCTGCTGAAGTGCTTCCAGCACCACAGGCACTGCCGTCTTCTAGCCCGCCACCAGCTCGCTCGCCCACTTCGGCAATGCGGAGGACGCGCCGGCCAATCGACGCGCGCACGAGTTCGCCGAGTGGCTAGCCCAGAAGCAAGGGGACACGGAGTTCCCCACGAGTGGAGGAGCTAGTGCTAGCGGATCGGCTCCAGCACCTTCGGGAGCAGACATCGCGCCGCCTTTGCTCGACCGCGTGACTCGGCGCTGCCGCCGCTCCACTACTTCCGCCACTGCCGCCTCGAGCGCACCCGCCACCACCTCAACCTTCGGGCCCCCTAGCAGCCGAGCCAGTACTACCAGAATCTGCGCCTCAAGCCCTGGTCGAGGACGCCCAAGACGAGGACGACCAA